GCCCTTACTGTACATTGTTCTCATCATCTGGAAACCATTAAACGCAATGTTTCCTCTTATCAGCCCCAATTTTGCCTTTGGTCACCGTTCAATACCCTGCCTCTATCATAGATCTATTCATCGCGCCAGAAGGGGGCGTTATTGCTTACTTTGAGAAACGCTGAGCTAAAATAAAAGTCAATGTGTTAGAAATATTCAAGTTGTGACCTTCAATAAAAAATAAAAAAATATATAAAATGTCAACATTTTATATATATTCCGTCGAATTTTTATATATAGAATTTGTCTGCCGTCGCCCCTCTATATTTCCTTAACGCCCCCCAATTCTCTTTGAGCCTTCTACTGCCCCCTGAAAGCCTCCAGCGTCCACAAGGGGGCGTTATCGCCCACTTTGAGAAACGCTGGTCTAGGGCATACACGGCTAACATACGGCCCGCGGGCCAAATCTAATCCGTCTAATGTATCTATGTGGTCCGCGATCAATTTTTGAATATTAGCTAGTAAAGTCGGAATATCTCGATGAAAAATTCTGACGCTTAAAAAAGAAAAAAAGGTCAACAACTCACTGTGCGTTTAGAGTTAACAGTCCATTACAAATCTCGTAATTATAGCGTAAAATGTTGATAAAGCATGATAATGTAAAAAAATGTATGTGTAATCTTTATCTACGGGGTGACACCACAATGAGATCTCGCTTCACCTCAAAATCTTCTCAGGGCAGCCTTTCGTTCGGCCCGTTAAATAAGTTTTTTCTCCAATTCGGCACGCTTGTCTAGGGGTGCTTTCCAGGAAGATTTTTAAAAGGAAACTGGCTTATATTTCGGCATTACAGACGTGGAAAAAAGTTTACGTGGATAGGCTGTTTGAGTGCGGCACGGATCCGCGACCAATCTTCCAGTGTTCGGGAACTCGTCCACTCGAAGTACCAGGACGAACTCTGCTCGACCAAGAAAAAGCCCCTTTTACAAAAATTTTATTCAAAAGTAGCACAGTCGAGTCCGGAGATGCAGATGGTTTCCTATTGTTTACCAGACACTGCACTCTATGTCCTGCTCTCGAACTGGATAAGATGTCCGGTGAATGCACATCGGAATTTCCGAAGTTAGTCTAAACGAAGGTCTATAACTTTGGAGGATATATATATGAAAAGGACGAAGATGTAAGCTCGCGGGAAACACCCCAGCGAGTATTGTTGCCTCGCGGGACGCCATGGCAAAATAAGCAGTGTTTTTGTGGCCTGGGTTTAAATATCTTGTGGACTCGAAAATCGTTACTTTATTGGTTATTAAATAATTCCCTTTCTAGATTCCTGACTGGTCATTTTCTGTTACCAGGTAAAATTAAATCAAATTAGTTAATAAACAACCGAAAAAGTTAGTTGTTTATTAACACAATTCGACACCGTCATTTGTTCGACGTTAAACGCAATTTATACCTTACTTTCATTTCTGTTTTTGTTCGTTTTGTCTAGAGCAGATTACCACAAATCAAGGTCATTATTTAACATCGTGTTTCGTGACTTTCATTTTATACTTCGTTTAACAATGGTGTATTAATTTAGGCCAGTTTTTGGTAGTGACTGATATAATTATTATTTTTCATGGACATTTACAATGAAGGAAATTTTTCCTAAAATTTAAACCATATGATTTACTTTATCTTTAACCAGTTTTTCGTTACAGGGTAAGTCGATAGGAATAATTGTGTTTTACTTTCACAACGCCAGTTTTCTTACCATAACAAAATGAACTGTTTCATCAATACAAGTACAAGCAAAGCTATGTAATGAATTACAGTCGAAAATTTCATTTTAATCACAATCGGATCACGTGTTCCTTCATGGTGATCGTATCGTTTGAGCACTTTTCCTGGCAAATAACATTGACAAATACTAATTCGCGATAATTATATATATCCAGTCCATTAATGGAGGTGCAAATCAAGTTACATATTAACTCTAAACAAAAATTCATTGAAAAACATAACCGTACCACATTGTATTGTCATTGTGATCGGATTACCTTAATTATTTTAAATATAAAATTGATAGACGAGTCTATCATTTATATCTGCTTTTGTTGTTAAATTTTGTAAAGGTGTAGAAATGTTTTCAATTCTGATGTTTAGAATTTTATTTCATTCTATAATATGAGAAAGTTACAGAGAAATAGAGTGCAAATAAACAATTTCACATTAATTAATTAATATGTAAACGCGGCCAATATATAAACTTTGAACTGGATACAGTGAACAATGGACAAGTAGTGTATACAGTGCATTAGTACAAGCGGTACATGGAATTTGCAAAGGAATAAAACGTGACAGTATAACCGTAAAATAGGCAAATATAGTTATAGAAGGATTAAGCGTGTATGGAGTTCCAATTAATTGTTGATACTGAGCAACAAAACATATACATTGAAGAGCATATAATATACAATGAATAAATGGTGAAAACAGAATACTAAGTATAAAGTACACGGTACTGATATATATGCAAACACAATGTAATAGCATTAGAGAGACTATACAGTATATACAATCTGAATTACATATTACCTAGAAGTTGGGCGATGCCTATCTATATCGATGATGACGCCTGTCTATTTCAGTTGGGCAACATAATTCGTTATTCTAGAGTCTAGAATAAAGAATTATGAACTTTGACGGTAACATGTATACTGTGTATAATACTAGCACATTAATCAATATCCCGTTTGATTCAACCCCGCTATGCTATATAATCGGTTAATTTCAATTATCTTTCATATAAAAATTTTGACAAAATTATTAACTATCATTTAATTCTACTATAAATATTTTGTACTTATCACTGTTATTTTCACACCAGCAAAGTAAGCAGATAATGTGTTTATTAATAATACATACAAGACAATTATTAAGCTTTTGTTTAAGTAATATTCCGGCTCTTTCATCAGGGTTTTGTTTACGTCCCCAATTCCCTAATCGCTTAATTATTTAACTACTTCTTAAGTAGAAATAAGTCGAAACCGGTTACTTTGTACTCGAATATTTGTAGTCTCCGGAAAAAGTGGAAAGACAAATTTTTATGACAAACGGATACATAAATCGTAAATTTAAGGAAAATGCATTCTAGAGCTTTTTCTGTATCTTGTGCATCTCTCTCATTCATTAAATTTAGTTGTAAATGACGCTGTCAAAGTAACAATTAATTTTTTATCATTATACAAGAATTGTACACGTTTTTTTTCTACATCCCCTTAAAGATGGGATATACGAAATCGTAATATCACCGGTTTAACATTGAAATCCGCGAGTAATATAAAATCGGAGAGCGGAATAAAAATATCAAATATTTTAATGGATTTTTTAAAACTCCGGTCAAGTATACAGAACTATCATAAAAACATACCAGTAAATTTTTATCGGTTGGGTTAAGTTATAAATCTACTCGTTCTTCACGTAATCGGCCAAATATCTAGCGGGCGGGCGGGCGGCTAACGGCCCAGAACAGGTCCTGGATAGAATTGGATGCGGTATATGTGTAGCATCGACCCAAGGTCGTAGGTTCCACCGGCTAAACCGGGTGAGGTCGGCGCTCTGTAAAGCGAGTGCGCAAATCTGGCTTTTTGGAATCTGACAATACAGAGATTCCACTCCGTCACTAATATTCGAATATACAATAGCGATCTTATTTTTTTCCCCCATGTAGTATAGAAATTTGTAATAAGATACATAATGCGGTAATAATAAAACAT